CAAGGGTAAACTCTGTCCTTTCCTCATATTATGAAGGTGGCTGCTCCAGAGGAAATGTACCCTTTGCCTATGATAAATAGCTGTAACATCATGGGCATTTTAAATAAGTGCTTTTAGTGTACAGAACAGCAACAGAGGGATTCAGAAGACAAGCTGTGCTCCTAACTCATGTTAGAAGCCGTAATTTTCCCTATGGCATTTATACATGTCCATTCAGTGCTTGTATTTGGGTCATTTGCTAGGATAAACCCCATGTGACAGGCTCACTGAAAGTAAGTCAAAGTGGTCCATACTGGCTTCACTTAATCTTAATTTACTATGAAGAGATGTACTTGTTCAAGCAGCAAAATGAACCTGTTCTGCATAGATTTGACTAAACTTAGCTAGAAAGTAAAATATCGTATTAAAATATTTCATAAACTATAAACTATAACCACTTGCATATTTTTCAGTGTATCATAAACTCAGAAGGAAATCAGTAAAATAGCACCCTTATGCCCACTAACTTCTTCCAATAAAGACCTGAGGAGACAACCTTTGATACAAAGCAAAATCCTTCCTTATATATTTTGATCTTAAAGTAACTCTTCCTAAACATGATTTTACTAAATACCAAGCATGACTTCAATGGTTGAACATACTAGAATTTTAAGATAACAATCCCAGATTGGTCCACTGCAAGTCTATTAGAGAGAATTTTTTAGAGGGAACTTAACAGAGTGATTGCTCATTTCATAAGGGATTCTTATCATACCAGGTCAAAACCCAAACGGATAATAACTTTAAAAGGCCAAGTAGAAGGAATAGTTGACTATCTTTAGGAAAAAATGGTTTTTAAAAAAAGAAGTCATCATGCCTTAAATCCTCCATTCTTTCATTTTAAATGCTGTGAATCAAAATCTTTATGACTTTAACTTGTGTCTCTATAAAAACAGATTTATATTTACATCCAAATGAATAAATTAGGAATGTGCTATTAAGAGTTTGGAGTAGTTTTGATTCAAAAATAGAAATTTCGGCTGTGGAGTTGTTCCTCCAAATTTCATGCAATTGTTGCACAATGAGATAGCTAAGAAACCCAAAGGTCATGTTAATGATCAAGGTTGGGTTGAACAAATGTAAAATGGGCAATAAGGAAAATAACTTTCAAAGCAGCCACAAACCCACTTCCCACTTCCAAAAACTCAAATTATCTTTTTTTAAGAATGCATGATTTTATTCACCCAAGAATAAAAATATGTATTAGGTGTATTATCTTCTTATTTACTTATTATACATCATAAAAGGCTTGCCATCAATTAGGTGATATGTGCAAAATGAAATCAGACTGCAAAACAACAGAGATGGCATCCTTCTGCTGCTCTGAAGTAAATGGACTCCTCTTTTAGTGTTATCTCTATGCAAAACTTATAATAGTATTTTTAAAGTGGATATAGTGAAAATGATGCAATGTTATCCTCGATAAATATATAAGAGAGCAGAGAACTTGGATCAGCAAGTTTTTTTCCATTGACCTAAACACCAAATTTCTCCAGAAAATGAGAGGGTCCTTCAAGAAGTCACATTCATCATGACTTAAAATTTGGCAAAGACTGTATATTTATCATTCCAGTTGTACTCTAACCACAATTTAAGATTCAATACAATCATGACTAGACTGAAGGCAAGGGGATGAAGGGGGGGAATGAAGCTGAAACTATTTATGCTTTTTCATCAGATATGATGAATTCTACTCTTCATCACATCCTAGCCATATTCTGAAGTTTAGCATAAAAACACTTGTAAAATATTAAGTTTTACCATAGGGAAATTGATTTTGCTATGAAAATGTTTCAGATTACCACTTAATCTCAACCAAGCTACATCAAACAGTGAAAGAAATTATATATATAGTTTACAAAGTAAACTTGATCACTATATTTAAAAGAAATGATAACTTTGAGAAGTACCACAGCAATAATGTTTAAGCTGAAGCAGTATAAAGCCCTCCTACAGCAAATGCCAGATTCTTCAGCTAAAATGCAGTCTTGATTTAGTTAAATAAGTCAAGCATAAGAGCCATCTCCTTCCTTGTGAGCTGCTCCCAGCACTGGCCTCTCTCCTTCTAGAACTCTATTTCACAAAGTTCCTGGGGTGGGGGGTGGGGGGAGCGCAGTGGAATCCACAGATGCAGTTTACACAATGTTTTAAATTTGAGTCTTTGTAGTCTGAAATGGAGCAGTGGAAGTAAACACATTATCATCATCCTCCAGTTTCCACTTGACTCCCCAGCTCTCTTCCAGCTCCACATACCAGTGAGTTAGAGGAAGTAGATAAAAAGTATATCCGAAAAGCCACATTTTACAGAGCACCTTGGCACTGAATCACCTGTGCATGCTATGCAGACATCCAGCAAGTTCCACGCTCTTATTAATAGGTATTTCAGAATTTCTAGGATACATAAAAACCAAGTTTGATTCTGTTAAGACTTCACACTCTTAAGAGTATAGGACTGCATATGCAGTTCTGCTACTAAGAAAATTAGACTAACATACATTTCCAAGTTGTAGCAAAGTGTAATTTATATTTACAGGCTCTCAACATCATAACAGTAATATATCATATATTGAGCAAGCTACCAATTAGATGATATGGACAACTCATTGACGTTGATCTACATAGCTAAATAGAAGTCAGGAATTTTGACACTGCAACGCAACCTATAACATGTAAAGAACTTACAATTGCCCACCATCAAAGTACAACTAATTTATCATCTCACTGACACTATTCTCCCCAAGTTACAAAGTCCTAACACTACTGACTGAGGATTAAAGAACACATAATAAGCATTAAATCTACAGAAAAATGTATATGCGAATTTCGTTTAGTTCAAGCCTTCATCTTTTACAGGATACTTTCTTCTGATATGTACTTTTTAAAGAACTGAACAGCAATAAAGGATAGCATACGTTGGGAATGCTTGATTTATCACAGTGTTCTACAGTACTTACTGTACTACAGTAAGTTGCCTTTTTTCCAAACTCTTTATTCTTAGTTTAAATGATTACTTCTCAAACTGTCCCCAACAGAACCAAGAACTGCCCAGATCATCCCTGAGCTCATTTTAGTGAAAAGTCACCCATCTTTGGAAGGAAGAGCTTTTTTCTTCGCATGCCCTAGAAATAGCAGGTGCACAGTAACACAAAAGTGAAAGGAACAGAGCAGCTCACCTCACTCTTACACAAAGACCATTTATTTCTCAGAGCATGTATCATAATTGCTAAAATCTATACACTGCTTAAAAGTTGAGGAAACGTTTATGTCTAATGGTGGCTTCCTTATCAACCAATCTCTGACAGACACTACATAAATGCATTAAGAAGAGTTTGCTTTATTTCATTGCACCTATTATCAGGGGATTTCATAACAGACATGTGGGTGTAAACAAAGATTCACAGATTTCAAGCATATATCCATGAACATGCTTTTAGCCAGAGAGTGGACACACCAGAGAATACAGAATATGGCTAATTACCACCCAGAGAAGATTCTGCCTTCACCTCCCCTATCAACCACTTTGCTTAAGTTCACTCTCTGCCTTGCCCTGACCCTGGGGATCCATTCACTTTCCATAGCCCAGAGAGGCTGCTGAAAAGCTGTCAAAGTAAATCTGTGCTCACTTTTTGGATGGTTTCATTTCAATGGAGCATGAAACACCCCAGGATGGTTAATAAGTTTGGCCAGGCGTGCTGTTCTCCCTAATATATTTTAATTATGCATCTGTTTTAATTGTAATCAGATTAAGTCACCGGAAAGGCACAAATTGGAATTTTCCCTAATGGCTATTGGAGCTTTTCATCAGTTTCTAAACACTAACAACATTTTAAAAATAGAGACACGAGCACAACTGTGACATTTTCCAGAAATCGATGCAGTTTCTTTGACAACACAGTTCAGGTCTCATTAGCCACCCAAACTAGCCCAAATGCAGAAGACAACTTCAGTCTCTAGGGGCGTCTTCTTCCCCAATTAGCACAAAAGAATCGCTAACGTCTAATGTAAAACTCCCAAACAGAAATGAAAGCCCAGGCTTCTATAAAGTGCTACTCCATCGATTGGTGAGCGAGGCGGGGGGAGCCGGAAAGGCATCAGCAGCATTATCTTGGCTCAAAGTAAAGTACCATACACGTCAAACGGTAAAGTTGAAGCAGAGTACGACTCTCTCCTTCCACTATTTTGGTAACTGCCAAAGGTGTGTTTTTTCCTCGGGAAATAAAGCGTCCCATCAATAAAAGGAAACGCTACAGGGAAGATCTATTAAGAGGCGAGGAGCGGCTTCCTTCCAGCCCAGACGTAAAATCGCTCAATGTGCACCAACAAATACCTAAGACTTTTTTTTTTAATACGATCATTAACAGTTCCCCAAATTGCTGCGATTTCCGATAAGAAACTTAAGCGTTCGCCAACAGCCAATAAGCAAGAGAAAGAACCTGCTGCAAACTAGGAACCCAAACTCCTTCAGACCGCCCAGCGCGCTCGCTTCCCCGGTGTTTGCTCCGGGTGTTGTTTACGCTTCTCCTAAACCTTCAATTCAGGTGCTGGACCAGTTCCTCCAAGACGCACTTCAGCCTTAAAGCGGGAAGCTTCTGAGCCACCGCGGAGTCCCCACGCAGCCCGCCGACCCCTTACCTGTCATCATAGCAGAAATCCGCACTCAAGGTGTTGAGATACAAGGCGAGCCCCAGAGCGCTGCTCACCAACTCTGCAATCATCTCTCCACCGCCTTCCCTCCGGCTCGGCTCCCAACGCAAGGGCAGCAGCGGCAACAAAAAACAGAAGCATCAATCCCCACCTTCCGCCGCCTTCTCCTCCCAGCTTCACTTTTTCCTAGCTCCCCACCCTCTTGTCCCTCCCTTCCTCCCTCGGGTCCTTGCAATCCACCGCTCTCCTCCTCCTCCTCGCGCCCGTCTCCGCAGCCGCTGCGTCTTCTCCGGGTGCGGGCTCACACCACACTCCCCATGCCCGGCGCCCGCGAGCGGCTGGCGGCTTTCGGGCTCCGCGCCCCCCGGCGGATGCACAGGGCTGGTCCTTCGCGCGGCTCGCGGCCCCCACCCTAACCCATGGCAGTTCGGGGCGCCCTAGGTGAGGAGTGGGACTCGGAGGAGGTGGAAGAATGCGGGATGGGGGCAGAGGGACCGGACCCAGCAGGGTTCTGGGACCAGCTGGAGGAAGAGAGAGAAAGAGGGGCGGGTGGGAGGGACCAGGCGAACCACCTCCCCTCGCCGCCTCCCGGGCGCACGGCTCCGGTGCTGCTCGGGCTGACTCCGGCCGCCACAGCGGCGGCCGCTCATTCACTCTTTATTAGCTCCCTCTCCGCCCCAGCCCCTTCTCCAGTGAAGTGAGGAGCGGTGGCTGGAGACTCCAGGAGCTCCCGCGTGGGGTTCTCGGCGCGGCCCCCCGCGCCTGCGTGGCCAACCCTCCATCCCGGCTTTGCCCGGCCCCTTTCTCCACCCCGATCCTCCCCCTAAGGCTCCTCCCACACTACCCCCTGGCTGGAGGCTCCTCCCACCTCCCCGCGGCCCGAGGCTCCTCCTACCCACCTCCCGCCCTCCTCTTGTTTCTTTTACCTTCGATTTCACTCTGGAAAGCCCTCGGGATCCAAGGGCGACTGCTGGAAGACAGCCCAAAGGGGTAGCTGGAGTGCGCCTTGGGAGGGGGAGCTGGACGAGAATCGACACCAAGGAGGACACGGTCGCTCGCGCCGCTGCTGCCTGGCGGCGCCTGGCACCGACTGGATCTCAGCCCCAGCGCTGTGTGTGCCAAGCGCTGCCAGGCGTAAGTCCGGTCAGCTGGAGGGACTTCTGGGGACCGGGAGAGGAAGACCAGGTTTGGCGAGGGCTGCAGCCTCGCTTGCCACATTTACGCGACCTCTCATACACGCTCACAGTGCGTGAGCCGAAAAGGGAGGGGGTATTGGAGAGCTTGAGGGGCATCTCAGGAGGGAGAGATTTCAGCTCCGAGCCTACCTTTGTCCCAAATGTCAATGGAAAGATGTATGGGGAGGAAAATGTTCCCGCAGTCAGGTTAAAAAGAAAGGACCCCAAAAGAGGAAAGAAACACATACACACACGCCGCAGCTGCGGGGGCCTTTCGTGGTTTCGGGGGACTTTCAGGCTGACTCTGGAAACATTAGGGAAGAGACGCCTCTGCAGCCCAGTGCACCGCTATTCTCAAAACCTAGGAAGGCGGGAAGCTAATGCCCTTTCCTTTCCGCCCGGATGCAGGACTGGATGGAAGGCGTCCAACCTGATAAATTATGGTGTAGAAGAATGGCCTGTGTAGACGAGCTCTGGGTACTAAAGTTGCGAGACCAAAGAGGACCGTGGGCCGCCTGCCACACCTCCTCCTGGCTTGGCCGCCTTCTAGCTGCGCGATGGGCTCCGTCGGACCACGATGAGCACTACTACAGCGCCCCCTGCTGCACGGCAACACAATGCTTGGAAAACAGACCTGTAAAGGGCTGACTGACCCCGCCCCCTCTCCCCTCCGCCCTCGAAGGGAAGCACCTAACTAGCGAGCTTTCCAGGACTCAGGCGAGAAATCGAATCCCCTGGATGTCAGGCAGCTGCCTGAAAAGTAAATACTGTGGTTTGGGTGTCAGCGAAACACAGCTCCATCTTTTCCTGATTTCACAAAAAAATCTGTGTAGACACAGATGAAGTGATGAATATTTATTATATCTATTATGCCATGCACGACGGACCCATTTTTGTTCCCTGAGATACAGAAGCATACATAAAAGAGAGTTGTATCTTTAAAGGCAGAGACTGATCTTTTACCTTTTTTTTTAACCTCTGCTTATTGTTGAAAAGTTTAAAAAATCCTGGTAGTTGACCCATCAAGTTCCTCTGTATCTGTATCCCTCCACTGCATTTACATGTTAATACTGGATCCTAGTTCACTGGCTGAAGAGCACCCAGGAGTTGGAGTCCGCACTGTGCTATTATTACCTGAGAAGCCTTTGGCCAGTCACTTAACCTCCTTGTGCCCCTTTTTTTCTCACCATTATGAAGCAGTGATGAAAATAATACCTATTTATGGGTACTATTATTAAGATTAAAGTAATTAAGGTGTGAAACACCTAGAAGCAATATAAGTATTGTTATTATTATTACTCCCTCCAACTTTCTCTTTTCCTTTTAGCTGTTAACTAAAACCTAGATCTATACCTCCAAAGTGCAGACCATGACATCCACCCTACTCCAATGCTAGTCCAAAATGCCTTCACTTCCTGGATGGACCAATGCAGTACCTTTCTAAGTGGTCTTATTTCTACTCCTGCAATTCCCCACTCCCCCACAGTCTTAACTTTAGGTATTAGAAGATTCTTTTGAAAACCTGCAATCTCTCTACTTTAAAATGTTCAATGATTTCCTGATGCACATCAAATAAAACTGTGATTCTTGCCATGGCCAGCCAGGCCCTCATCTGGCCCTGATCCTTCTCTCCCCTGACATTGCATCAGCAACACAGACATCCTTCTCCTCTGATACTTACCACTTTCTCCTCTTACCTCATGGGATGCCTTCTCAGACCCTCTCTAGCTCCTTCTCAGCATTCCGATCTTAGTTCAAATGCTCTCACCTGAAAGGCTTTCCCAGCCCACACTATTAAGTAGCCTCACTCTCAGCAATCTTTGTCTCATCATCCTGATGATTTTCTTCATAGCATGCATTGTACCTGGAATCCCCAATAGAATGACAGCTCCAAGAGGGCAGGAAACTTATCAACCTGGTTTTCCACATAATACCCAGAGCCTGTAACATCTGGACAGGTAGAAGAAACTAAAAACAACACAAAATGTTGACGAGAAATGAACAAATAAATGTGCTTAGCAGAAACTCTATAGCAGCTGAAAATCCACAAATTTTCATCATGAGAGAATAAGATAAGCTGATTTGTTGTCCATGTCAAACAGTGAAGAATTAACACAGGAGAGGGGGAGGAAGTAGGTTAAAAATTCTTAAGGATGCATCAGCTCTGCAGGAAAACCTGTGGTAAGTCACACACAGACAGCTCTCTTCAATAATTAAGAGGACTCAGAAGCATGAAAGTAGTAGAGAGGTTTGGGTTCAGCATGCTAAAAGCTTGTAAGCATTTCCAGAGCTGTCTTCACTTCAAGGCTCCAATAGTTTTAAATAAATATTTTCTACACTTCCCCTCCACCTCCTCCTTTTCTCCTCTCCCTACCCCTAACTCCTGGGGATTGGGAGCTTGGGAGATGGTGAGAAATGTACATTTTGCTCTCCCTGATGAACGGAAGGCTGAAAAACCAGCTGTGTTGCTTTTAACAAATTTTCCTCTTTTAATTTAATGTGGGTCTCAATATTCTTCCAATGCATTAAACCTTGGTTGCTTTCAGACTACTCTCCAAGGCCTGAGAAGCAGCCAATGTCTGAGTGTTCCCCCTTCCTTGAACGCCAATGGGGGAGAGCGGAATCCGTTAAAAGATGTCATCACTATCCTTGGAGATCATATCAAATCTGGGGACATCGCTTTTTAGTTTATTAAGGTGTACTCACCCATTGTGAGATTGCTACCTCAGTTCTGAATATATATATTCTATTTAAAGCTACTGCTGCTCTCCACAGATGAAGGAAATTAGGCTGGTTGGCTTGACTTTTCTACCTTAGACACAAGACTGGCCAAAAAAGTGCTAAGCCCTTATTTTCCCAAAGTAGGTTCCACACATCTGCTACCTCACCACTTCCTCAATGAATTCTTTTTTATAGTCGCCCCAACCTACCCTGCATTTGTTCTGCATTCCCAGGCCTTTGTTGTATAATTCATACCTTTGCAGTGCCAGGTCCTCGGGGTAAAGATTTCCTTATTTGCCTAAGACATTTTTAGTTTATTGTGCAATACCATCTTCCCTTTGGGTGTTGCATAAATATTAACTAAAAATCCACATCTGGTCTTAGTCTTCATTTCTATTTGTCCTAATATAACTTCTCTTTGAACAATTCATTTGGAAAGTGTGCCAAGGGTGAAATGTGGCACATAAATTCTCCTGCTGCACAGAATGCCTTTTAAAGTGCCCACAGATTTGGTTATTTATGAACAGAAGATTTGCACCTCTTCCTTGCTCTCGCAATTCTAAAATTGTACCAGGCCAAAGTAATTACAATCTCCCATATGTTTTGTGAGAAAGGTATCCAAGAATCTCCTGCTAAAATCTTAACAGATTGACCAGGAAGCAGAAAAACACTAGCCCAGCAGGTGAAGCTGCCTGTTTAGGGAGGTCAGAACAGAGCTCTCTGCTGGGGGACTCATAAGCTCTCGGCTTTACTCAGGAAATAACCCTGCAGGAGAAAAACAGCAGAGCGTGGATGAAATGTGGGTCAGGGAGCTGAAAGAGGCACACGCGCTGCTTGGTTAACTAATGACAGTAAATGCATTGGCTACACATGTTACATTTAGATGTTCCCAGCATACCATAAAATGCTGCCCTGCAATATGTAACATCGCTTTGTCCCCAAACTTGTGATCCATTAGGAATATAATTAGGACAGTACAGCCACAGAAACAGATCCTGTCACCTCTGTCACAAACCCAGGGCTGTTAAGAACCAGCTGCTACTAAAATAATGATCACTTTAAAAATCTCACAAGCTCCCAGCTTGCAATTCAGTGGGGGTAGGGGAGGAGGGGGAGAGAGGAGGAGGGGGGAGGAGTGTAGAAATAACATGTTAATAACCAGATATGGGTAATTGCAGAGATGTTCAGGCGAATGATAGAATTCAGAAACTCGATCAAGAAAAGCAAGGACAGCCTCCATCATAGAATCTCTCTCAGTGCATTCACATGCACTGGTATAAAGCGTGATCAAAAATATTCTAACAGCTTGAAAAATTGCACAGACTCTTGGATAACAGAGTTTTGATAAGCCTCAGATTCTGTAAAATAAAAGATAACTCAGAGAGGAGAGAGAAGATTAGTTTTGATGTGGACATTCGGTAAACCAGTTACTCAGGAATGTTGCCCTGGTACTCAGCCCAACACAGACCCTTTAATCCAGCCTTGTCTTCTAGAGCTTTCTGCAAAGGTGGCTTTATATCTGTAATGTCCAGTGTAGTAGCCATCAGCTCCATGTGGCTAGTAAGCACTTAAAATGTGGCCAGTGTAACTGAGGAACTGAATTTTAAATTAAATGTACAGGGGGACATTGGCTAGTGGCTACTTACAAGACAGTACTTATCAAAGCCATTGTCTATTCTTCCCACCGGTAACAGCTGTAGTTCTGAACCTCTTGTGCTGGACTGGAGATACCCGTACGTGGCTTGCCTTTATTTATAAAATAGCCACCAGCCATCGAACTCTTTTTAGGCATTAGGCATTTCACTGAGCATGTTATGTTTAAGATCTTATGTAATCCTCACAACCGACCTGGGAGGTAGGTACCATTACTGTCCCTGTCTTAACAGGTAAGGATGTAGAGGCGTGGAGAGGTTTAGTAAATTGTTCATCATCTGGAGCCTCTAGTGGTGGAGCTGACATTTGAATGTATGTCTTTTTTTCTTTTTTTTTAAGATTTTATTTATTTATTTGACAGAGAGAGACACAGCGAGAGAGGGAACACAAGCAGGGGGAGTGGGAGAGGGAGAAGCAGGCTTCCTGCTGAGCAGGGAGCCCGACGCGGGGCTCGATCCCAAGACCCCAGGATCATGACCTGAGCCGAAGGCAGACGCTTAACGACTGAGCCACCCAGGCGCCCCGTGAACGTGTGTCTTTTAACTCCAAAAGTCTATGCCTTAATCACCATTCAGTCCAATGTTGTTCCTTCTCCCGTTCGAAACACCACATCACCATTAGGATCTACTTGAGGAGAAGGAACTCCTGGCTATTGCCAAGATGCTTTGACTAAACTCAGATGAGTAGGGATAAAATACTTAAGATCTTCCCTTATCAACCAATTTTACCTGATTTTTTCCCCAAAATCTGGTATCAAAACCTGCAAAGACTACACAGACTATATAATAGAAACCCTTCCCTATAAAATACACACTCCACATATATTTTTTTAAAGATTTTATTTATTTATTTGAGAGAGAGAGAGCAGAGAACACCAGCAGGGAGGGGGCGAGGAGGAGCAGAGGGAGAGGGAAAAGCAGACTCCCCGCTGAGCAGGGAGCCTGAGGTGGGGCTCGATCCCAGCACCTCGAGATCATGACCTGAGCTGAAGGCAGATGTTTAACCGACTGAGCCACCCAGGCGCTCCTCCACATATTTTTAAAAATAGGGGCGCCTGGGTGGCTCAGTTGGTTAAGCAACTGCCTTCGGCTCAGGTCATGATCCTGGAGTCCCAGGTTAAAGATTTAAAGGTTAAAACAGGTTAAGATTTTTTTTTAAATCTTAAAAAAATATATATATATAGATGTACTCAAAGGCATCTGTGTTGAGCTTGCAGTTCTTAGTTTTGGCTCTGGTTGCGGTCTGGGGTTCCTGGGATCAAGCCCCACGTTGGGCTCTGCACTCAGCGGGGAGCCTGCTTCTTTCCCCTCTCCCTCTGCCCCTCCCTGCGCACAGACAGGCACGCTCTCTCTCTCTCTAAAATAAAGAAATAAATCTTTTTTAAAAAAGATGTATTCAAATCATGTATAGACATTTTTTCTAACATAATCCACATCATGTATTATAAAAACAGCTGAGATAAGTAATGTAACCCAAACTCCAGCAAAGTAATGCAAGTATTAGTGCAAATCACAATTTGGAAAACCAAATACAGCATTTATAATTGACTTAATATTATTATGTTAAAAACCCCACTACAAATTTGCACCTCATAAAGCATTTTTAATCCATTTGTTATTGCTATCAAATGACTAGAACGTCTATTTGGAACTTGGTTTATTAATCTAATGATAAATGACAGGAAATCAATGTATTTAAAACTTTGCAATAGATTTAATTAAGTTGCCCACTTCAATGAATAAATATCTTATAATTTGTAATACTATTATTTAATAATTATAAATGAATGATATATTTATAGCCTTGCATATAGACTTCCATCACCCTATACTTTTTTCCAAATGCTCTTTCTTTCTTTTTTTGTCCTTTTGAATTTATTCTTTTATTTTTGCATATTTTGC